GCCTCAACAAAGCACCCCAGACTGAGGGGCTTAAACAGTAGGTAGTCATCCCTCAGTCTGGATGCCTGGAGTCTGAGATCCAGGCGGGGCTGAGGCTGGGAGTCTGAGATCCAGGCGGGGCCGAAGCAGGTTCCTCCTGAGGCCTCTCTCCTGGCTTTGTAGACTCTGCCTTCTCCCTGTGTCCTCACGTGGTCGTCCCTCTGCGTGTGTCTGTGTCCTCATCTCTTTACAAGGGCACCAGTCATGTTGGGTTATGGCTACCCTGCTGACTATTGAAACTAAGTTATCTCTTTAAAGACCCCATGTCCACCTTCTGGGGTCTGGGGGTGAGGACTGGAACATATGGACTTGAGGGGGACACAGTTCAGTCCTTAAAAAGAGGTTTCCTGCCTTCCCCAGCCTGCAGACGTTTCTGTTAAAGGTGACAGTGGGTGGCATGCGTGGGGCGTCATGAAATCAGCTGTGTGGGACCCAGGACAGCTGTCTGTCCTCCAACAATTCCAAGAATCTCTGTGTCCAAGCGAGAGCCCATGAGGGCAGCGCACCCCCAGTGTCTCTGAGAAGTAGTGCGTTTCATGGCCTCAAACACGCGCAGCTCTGCTCAGCTTCGCCCACCACGCGTGTTCACGCGGCTGGAAGGAAGGAGCCTCCTTCCAGAAAGTCAGGACGGATTGGGCTCTCAACAGTCACTCCCGGGCAGGAGGTGGTGCCAACCTCATGGGGAACTTGCTGTGACTCTTTTCCACCAGGAGGAACTCAGCTTTGTTAGAGCAGAGCCTCTTGGATTTACTCCTGCCCAAGACAGGCCTAGCTCGTTCTCACAGAATCCAGTAAGTGTTCATGCTTTTTCTACAAACACAGTGTCTGTCTGTACATTTTTCTGTATATGCTACCTGGTGGTCGGCTCTGTCCCCGCCCCACCCCTGTTGAATTACGGTATCACTGTGCTAAAAATCACTGATTTTTATGTCTTCTTATCGACTTATCCCTAAAACTGAAAACCCAAGTTTGAGACACAGACACGCATGCATATGCATTTAGAAGACGTGAAGGAACGCGTGAGGGCAGAAAGCAGATCTGGGGTTGTCTGCAGATGAGAGAGGGCGGGGGCAGGAGGGACGCCTGGGGGATGAAAGGTACGTCCTTATCTTGATCAAGGTAAGAGTTTCAGAATGTGTACGCATTTGCCAAATTGTACGCTTTCGGTGTGCATCCTATTGCATAAGAATTACACCCTCATGAAGCTGTTAAAAACAACTCTGGGTTTCGGGTACTAACACATCATTGCACATTCAGAGAACTATTTTCATCCATCTTGTTTTTAAATGAGCCCAGTGTTCGCGTCACTTCCGTGTCATTTGGGTCTGGGCTGGGTTGGTCCAGGAAGTATCCTGTAACTTGCCTCTCTTGGTGTTATGAGCACCACACAAGCACACATTTTTCTTGCAGTGAATGCTGAACGGGCTAACACGACTGGGCTGGGAGGGAGGGTCGGACACACTACCAATATTCCATAAGTGGAATAACCCTCAACATGCAGATCTGAAGAGCCTATGAGCGAGAGCCCTTCTTAAAATGAAATACCACACAGGAAAAGGTGCAATAAGATGGACCGTAGCCCAACTTCCCTGAGGTTTTTGGCCACATCAGGTTAAACAAGAATTTCTAGGGGCGCCTGGCTGGCTCGGTTGGTGGAGTAGGCGACCCTTGCTCTCGGGCTTGTGAGTTTGAGCCCGCGTTCGGTACAGAGATGACTTAAAAATAAAATCTTAAACGAATTTCTAAGTCAAAGACTAGATGGCAAAATCAACAATTGCTCAATTGCTAGGCGGTTGTGAAGCCCGTTGGCCCGCTTCCCAGACCGAGAGAGGGAACCCATTTCATGAGTGGATCACACATCCTTTTGAGCCTTTGCCATTATTTGCTTTCACACGATTGAAAGAGAAGCATTTCAAACTGTCCGCTGAGAGATTTACCAAACCTTTTGTGTCATACTTGGGCATGTCCTTGAGAAGGAATTGAAAGGATAACCCATATTTTGTAACAAAACCTCTACTCATCTAAGCAAGGTGTCTTGGTGCAAATGTCTAAAAGTGGAAACAAAAATGTATCTAATGAATCTTTTTCTTTTTAACTTTTTTTAAAAATGTATTTATTCATTTAAGTGATCTGTACCCCCAACCTGGGGTTTGAACTCACATACCCAAGATCAAGGGTCACATGCTCCATGCACCTCCACAGCCAGGTGCCCCCAAATCTTCTCTATTCCTAGCAATAAATCCTGAACATCCTTCAATACATATGGGGGAAAAGGGAGTTGCGTTCATTGTATTAAAAAAGCAGCTCAGGGGCGCCTGGGTGGCTCAGTTGGTTAAGCGACTGCCTTCGGCTCAGGTCATGATCCTGGAGTCC